TTGTTCGGGGGTTTGGATTTTGAGTTGAAATTTGAATAATTATACTTTCTCCATCCAAAAATATATTTTTATTGTATTGGACACGAGATTTAAGAAATATTGATATTACCTCAATCCACCACTAATTATTCTATCAAAATATTGTACAAATCAAGGAAAAACGACAAAAATATTTCTATCAGTGTCTTATAATACTATACTAATGTAATGACATTTGTACAAAAAAATTATATAAATATAAGGATATTTTTAATGTTAAAAACAATGACACCAAATGCAAATAGATAGATTAGTTGTGGATGGAGGTAGTATTATATTGATAGTTGGTAAAAAGTAATGATAAATTACATAAATTACTTTTTTGCCCTTGTGAGTATATTAGTGTAAAAAGTAGTGACAATTGTGTAATAATAATAAAAAATAGAGATAGTTTTACGGTGATATGGTTATTTATGGAAATGAGACTATTGTTTTGGGACAGAAAAAAATAGTAAACAAGACTATTATATTACGACGCAGGAAGTACGATGTAATATAAATAAGTATTGATGTGATGATTAAATGTAAAATTAAGTTTTTAGCATAATATAAATAATAAATAATAAATAATTTATATATACTATAATTTAAAAATTTTCCAAACAAAGACACTCTAAATAGGTAAAGTATATCTCTAAAACTTGGGGTTTAATATAAATTTGTAAAATCTTATATAGATATATATATATATATATATTACCTCCGTCATGCAAATGTGTGCTCATTTGACCGGACACAGATTTTAATAAAAGTGAGTAATAATTGTTATTTTTTTTCTTTTATAATAAAAAAATACAAAAATATAATAATATTTTACTTATAAAGAAAACGAGAACATTTTTCAATGACAACCCAACAATAAAAGTGAACATAAATTTTGAATGATAGAGGTAGTATAATTAATTATTTTATTCACTCTCCTATGAACCTAATTAAATGAAGCATCAAGTTCTTTAATAATATACACAACATATATTTTGGCTTTTTTTTTAAAAAAAATATGAATTATATAATAATACAGATTGAATCAAGTATTTTCAGCATAATGCTGAACACTTACATTTTAATTTGTATAATTATATTAATTATATTATTTAATAAACTAAATCATGTAATTAGATTTTTAAGTGCTTCAGCACAGGTGCTGAAACTTCAGCAAATTTTTAATTTTGAGAGGGGAAAGGGGAATGGTGGTGCTTTATTTATGGTAATCATTTACCAATTATTAATAAATTACTCTCATCGTTTCAATAGAGTTGTTTTGTTTTTTCATTTTTGTCTTCAAAATAATTGTCTTGTTTCCTTATTTAGTAATCGTAGTCTTCACTTTATAACAAAATTATTCTTATTTTTCCAAACTACTCTTAATTATTACTTTAAAATATTTTTTAAAATCATTCAAAAAACAAGGATATTTTAGTCTTTTACCTTCTACTTTATATACAATTTCAATTAAATATTATTATTCTTTAATTCTCGTGTCCACTCCCAGTAAGACATCTTTTCTAGGACGGAGGGAGTATATAGTAACTTACATAAAATACCTATTATTTTATTTATTCTTGAAATTCTCTTATATTATATTAAATATATATATTAATCCAAATGTTGATACTGTTTGCAAATACGCGTCTAATTATACAAGTATTATGTAAATAAATTGACGAAATATCTTATATATCATTATTTGAATAAGATCAATAAAAAAACAGATCAATCTTTCATTTTTATAATTTGTAAAATGAGAACGAGCCATGACTTTTATAAACTCTAAAATAAATATGTTATCAATTTTTTGTTTATTTCTTTTATTCAAAAATGATATTTAAGACATTTCACTCAATTTATTTAGATACGTATCATCATTTGGATGGAAAATGTGTTTTGTTTTACTTAATATAATACAAAATGATTTTAAGCAATAAATAAAATATAATACATTTTATATATCTATAATTAAACACGGATGATGAGTTTTATACAATTTACTCTAAATTATATACTACTATACAATCAATATTTAACCATTTGTTTAATTGTATTTTTTTTTAATGACGTGGGAATCCGCAGTCGCTATCCGAAAGTACACACTGGTAAACCTTCGGCTGAACTTAATACCTTGCAAACTAAGGCCAACAAAGGGAACATTTGTTTTGTTTAATTGTTTTGATGAATGATTAAGTGTATAAATACCATTTTTCTATTTTTTATTTTTTATATTATACTAAAAATCAATTTTACATTCGGGAAAAAAAATTGGATGAATAATGTAAATCCAATCCAATCCCCCAAAATTATTAATGATTTATGTTTTCACTTTTTATTTTTATACTACTTAAAATATTGTATCTTTCTTATAATAGTGTATACCTTTTTCATTTTAGGAAATTTGATAACACTCCATACATTTTTATTTTTAGTAATTTTATTCGTGTTAAACATACTTTACAAATATAAATTAATTTAATTAAACACTAAAAATAAGTTAAATATACATATATATTGAATGAACATATGCTATATACATTTTTTAATAAAATTGCATCTAACTTACAGAAAGAAAAAATAAAAATAAAATAAATAAATAAATAAATAAAACAATATGTAAGCTTATGTTACACAAATTTTATTGAGGCAGACCAGGTGACAAATACATTGATATATCTTTATATGTTGATTAAATTTTAAAAAATGTGATACATTAAATTATTACATAAGTGTTGTAGGTGGGATGTCCTTCAGATATGACCAACGTGCTACACACAAATATATATATATATATATAAATTGACTAAAATATTTTTTTAGTCCCGTAACTGGACACTCTTATTATTTTAGTCTCGTAAGTGAAGCCTGTCGCAAACTAGTCCCATAAGTAGAAAATTTTCGTTGTTTTAGTCATCCGGCGCCGGAGATGCCCGCGTGGCTCGCCGGAGGCTATGTGTCCGTCAGGTGTCGCCTGGCGGACACGTGGATTTTTTTAAAATTTTTAAATTTTTTTTAATTGAACCAAATAAAAAAATTAAAAAAGGCAAATAAAATTTAAAAAATAAAAAAAATGGAAAAAAAAAAAAAATTCACGTGTCCGCCAGTGGCCTCCGGCGAGCCACGCGGGCGTCTCCGGCACACAGCGAAATTTTTTCACTTATGGGACTAATTTGCGACATACTCCACTTACAGGACTAAAATGATAACGAAGTCCAATTACGGGACTAAAAAAATAATTTAGCCACATAAATTTATAGATAGTGAGAAATTATTAAATTAATGAAGTAGTCCACTATTAGTGTAAAAATAGGTTTGATTTTATCTTTAAGGTAGTCCATCATTTTCTGTGAAAACTACTCTCAAATTAATGGTCGCATTAATTGATTAATTTGTGACACATTATTAATTTTGTTCATCAAGTACTAAATCACATGATTAACTAAACTAATTATTTAATTAAAAGTGCCTCCAGCCCCAGATTTATTTATCTATTAAATTGCATCCCTGCCATTATTAATTATTGACTGCCTAATAAATAAATAAATCCCACTCTGCAATATTAATTTAATTAATATTACTAATGATTTAAATATATGTATATAATGTGTACATAGCAAAGCCCTAATTCAAAAAAAGTCAACACTCGGTAATAAAAACTGATGATCACATGAGACAAGGTTGTGATTCTCTTGCATATGCTAATGCTAATGCTGCTACAATTTTCAAAAACCCTAATTAAAAAATTAAATTTAATTAATTCATTTCTTCAATTTCAGTGCAAATTTGGGTAAGCATTTAATTGGAATCCTCGTACATACTAGAAGCCACAAGAGGGGGCCACGAAATTTAACTGCAAAAATGTTCTATAATCATAATCATGTAACTTTTGGACCACATATATATATATATATATATACTCCCTCTGTCCCATAAGTAGATATCAATTTGCTTTTTGCACATAATTTTAGAAATATTAATATTATATTAGGATATAGTAGAAATGACTAAAATAACCTTATTAGTATGTATGATATAAATATAATGATATTTGTGTAATCAATTGTAAGTTGTAAGGGTATTTGTAATGTTAGGTAGATAGTACAGTTACCAAAAAAAATGGTTACTTTGTTGTGGGATAAACTAAAATGGATACGTTGTTATGAGATGGAGGGAGTATATGGGATGGCTAGGGTGCTAATTTTTCAACTCAGCACACGTTATATATACAAACAACACTTATTATTATTACATACAACACATGTTGTGTGTAATAAAAGTATGTGTTGTTTTTGTATAATAACAAGTGTATTATATAAGATTTTGTCATGTGCTAAAATTAACTATTGTGTGTGTTGTATGATTGTGTTGTATGAGACTATAACATGTGTTGTTAGTTCATGCGTTATATTTGTATTATATTAAAATATACAATGTGTTGTCTATAATAGTAATAATGTGTGTTGTCAAACTGCACGCGATATGCTGTTGAGACTATAATACTCCCTCCGTCTCATAAGAAGGGTTTCATTTTCTAGTTTCGTCTGTCCCAAAACAATAGTATCATTTGTTAATTTAGTAATTGTATTACCTTCGTAACATAGTAAATACTCTTCCAATTTACAATATATTACACAAATGTCACCATTTTTATAGTACACAATACTAATAAGAGTATTTTCGTTTTTTTTTTACTACAACCCAATATAATACTAATATTCAATAATCTACGTGCAAAAAACAAACGTTACTCTTTATATATGACGGAGGGAGTATATATTTTTGTTGATGTGATGTATTTGTGTTGTATATATATTAAACGTAGATAATTATGTATTTATTTATCTGTTTAATTATCTTGCCTTGCCTTCTAAGCAGTACTCATCGAAACCCTTTCACCATTTTTTATATATATATATATATATATTCTTTCCTTCAACGTTCATCTCCCTCTTTCACTGTCCCCCCCCCCCCCCCCCCTCTGTCATAAACTTCATTTCTAGTTGGATTAATTATCAGATAGCATGCCTGAATGTCCACAGAAAGGTAATAAACCCATTCCTTGAATTTAATTAATTAGTAAGAACTAACCATTTAATTCAATTTTATTTAATTTGATTTTTTGTAGGGAGAGATTTGAGGAGATAGGCAAGAAGATCAAGAGAGAATCAGATGGCTTTCCACAGATCATGGGAGGAATTAGGAGTAGGCATTTGTCGTCGTCGTCGGCAATTATAAATACGATAACGCCATGCGCAGCTTGCAAGCTCTTGAGACGACGGTGTGCTCAAGAATGCCCGTTTTCTCCATATTTCTCACCTCACGAGCCTCACAAGTTTGCTTCTGTTCACAAGGTGTTCGGCGCAAGTAACGTCTCCAAGATGCTAATGGTACGTATAATCTAATCTTTTGTTACCGCATTGCTAGTTGTTGGGAGTACTTATTACCAATTAGTTTTGAGATGAAACCTCATCCTTTTTAATCCTTTTTAACATCTTGCAAACCCTAATTGCTAATAATTCATTCATTCATTTTGCACACCCTAGCTAGCTACCTACCTACCTTTAATTCCCATTATTGGTTCATTTATTTTGGGAAATTTAGGTTACGTTATTTTGTGAGTTTTACCGCAGATTTTTATTATTTAATTTTTTTTTTCTCTAAAAATATTATATCAAACAATTATTTTTTTTTATATTATACTACAAATATATTTTACATTCAAAATATCACATCAACCTCTATTTATATCACATCAAACAACTATTCAATTTATTATTCAAAAATCCAAACTCAAGAACTAAAACCCACAAATAAACACACCCTAAACTATTTACAACTTTTTTATCCCAAAAAATCAAATCATATTACTTATTTTTTTATATTATACTAAAAAATAATTTATATTTGAAATATTATATTAACATTTATTTTTATAACATCATATAACTATTTGAAACTCAAATTTACAATTCAAACTCTCAACCAAACACACCAGCTAATAAATTACAATTCGTCATTTCATGTAAAAATTCATTCGTTAAGAAGGAAAAACAAAACACTTCAATATATATATATATATATATACATTAAAATAAACAAAAATTGTAATTTACTCATCCAAACAAGCGAGTCTTTTGAGCTTCTTTAATATTTATAGGAAACGCGGAAAGATAATACAATCTCTAAACATTACTTTAATATTTTAAAATAACTTCACCTACTACATTTTTCAGACGACCAAAATAATACCTTACATATATATATATATATATATATATTTATATAACTTGTTTTTGGGTCAAAGTATAGCAACGATATACTTTCTCCGTGCCTTAACAATCTATTCATTTTTTTATTTTCGTCCGTTTCATAACAAAGTATCAATTTTTATTTCAGTAACCGCGTATTATGTACCTATCATTACAAATACCCTTCAAATTTACAATATATTACACAAATGTCATTACCTTTATTTCATACAATACTAATAAGGACAATTTAGTCTTTTTATTTTAACTTTTACTATATTTTAATATAATAATAATATTTCTAAAATCCCGTGCAAAAAGTAAATGAATATATAGATACAGAAGGAGTAATACTTAAGTGTTTTGTAGTAATATGTCAAAATCCATTGAAGACTATTAATTTCTACTACTTACGTACCCTAGCTCTTCGAAACACTAAACATAGAGCTCGTGGCAGTATAAGGCCATCTCCAATCCTCCACTCCATTTTTATAGTTGCTACAGTAAAATCTACAGTAATTTTACTCCAACCATAAACTTCAATTTTTATTCTAAAAAGTATATTCCCTATATATTTCTTTTTTATATTATTTTATATAACTTTTCATATTTATAAATTACACCCCAACTTTAATTTATTTTTACATTAGATCCATACACATATAATTTATAAATTATTTAAAAATTACATATATAAAAATTAACATTTAAAAAATAAAATTATATATTACTTTCCAAAAACTAAAATTATATTACTTTTAAAAAATAAAATTATACATTATTTTTCAAAATAAAATAAAATTACATACAACTTTTTAAAATATAAAATTATATATCATCTACTAAAAAATTAAAATTACACAATATATCAAAAAATACCAAAAATATAAAAAACACCACAAAAACCCAACTCCATTTTTAATGGAGTGAAGTATCAGTGATACTCCATTTTAACATTGTGGATTCCTGCAAAAATGGAGGGGGGGAGGGATTTGGGGGTGGGTTGGAGCCCCTCTCTCCATTTTTGGTACAACCCATGCAGTGGGTTGGAGATGATCTAAATTAACTGTAAATCATATTTTAAAAAACAATTGTATTGGCTCTTTTAGGGATTTTTCAAAACTTTTCAGTATTCAATATATTCACTCCTTCAAAAATAATAATAATAATAATAATAATTAATTAAACATCTAATCTTATTTTTTACATAATAGTAAAAGAATAATTTTATATTCTAATATTAGAACTAACATATATTTATACTACATTAAATAATTATTTAAATTCCAAATTTTATTATTCGAAAATCCATACTCTAAACAAACACACCTTGTATATATTCTAGCAATCATAAAACACACACTTAGTATATATCCATTTGAGTTACCACTTGGGATGTGTTCTTTCAATTTTTTTTTTCTCACATATTTTTTCAAAATATTAATATATTCCACACATTTATTTTTTTATATTTCTTATACAATTTCTCATATTTTACATAAAAAAATATTCATTCAAATTATCTCACAAAATAAATACACCATTAAATCTTCGATCACCAATTACAATTATTATCATTATTATTATTAGCATGCACACACACAATCTTAGAATATTATGAATCTCTCCATCATGCAAAGAATAAGCTTATTTAATTTGGATATGAATTTTCATGTGTTGTGTCTTTTAGTAAAAAAAAAATAAATAAATAAATTAAATGATAAAAAATAGTATGATTTTCTATTAAAAAGAAAATAAGCAAAGCGAACACCTCTTCTTCTGTTTCTTTTTTTTTTATTATTTTATATGAGATGGGAAGTATAAAACAATACAACTCCAAATTACATTTGAAGTAATTAAGATATACTTCCTCCGTAATCAAAATTTGTGTCCATTTCCACGGCATTTTACAAAGGAATTGAATACAAATTTAGAATGACAGGTGTTGTATCAATTAATGAAAGATAAATTAATTAAAAATGCATATATATATATATATAATAGGAAGTTCCAGAGAATCAAAGAGCAGATGCAGCAAACAGCCTTGTGTATGAGGCAAATGTGAGGTTAAGAGATCCCGTGTACGGATGCATGGGTGCCATCTCAGCTTTACAGCATCAGGTACAACTCCTTCAAGCAGAACTCAACACTGTCCGATCCGAGATTTTTAAGTACAAGTACACTCGGGACACTTCTACACCTACTGCTTTGCTCCCTACACCATCTCCCCACATAAGTAATTTGCTCTCCTCCGGCGCCGTTTCTATTGCCGCCCCTCCGCCTCCTCCTCCTCCGCCACCGCCGCCCCTCACTCCTTCCTCCTCCCCGGTGTACGCCGCCGTCACAGCGGCTGAGTTTAGCACAATTTCCACTGAAAACAATAATCTCACGTATTTTGGTTAAGTTATTATTATTATTATTATTATTATTATTATTACTACTACTACTACTACTACGGATCTTATATATGCCTTTTTCTTTCCCGAAAAAAAAATCTATATATATTTATATAATTTTGCCAGTCTTGAGGAAGGTTCTTCGTGCACAATAAATTCAATTGAAATTAGATTTCTCGTATATTAACTGTTTTATAGTGCCCCAGTTAACGATAAGCCCGCTGCTTCATTCATTCCTATAAACTTTGTATCCATAATGTATTTATAATTGATATTGATATACATCACGTCTTCGAGTCATTGTATTTTCATTATATATTTTTAGAAATTCAAGTGTATGCAATAACACATATAAACATGTTGCCACATGAAAATTCCATCAATAATGGCGGGCCGTTTTTGGAGGACTTTTGATTGATTTGATCAAAATGACTTAGGCTGACGTAATATAATTTTGTTAGCGTCAGGTCCAAGTATTCAAATCGATGGTGGATAATGTTAGTGGTGGCCCAAAAAAATGGAAGACCAATGAAAAACCGGCTTAATCAATGATATGGGAGGGTTGACGAGTGCAGTGGAGATACTTAGAGTTAATTGTCATTAACAAAGTCTTGATGAGTGCAATAAGAAGGTTTGATGGTTATACATAATGCAATAAGGTTAAAAGACCTTTTGAGGTTCCTAAAGAGATGTTACATGCAATTATGAAAGAGTAGTGGGGTGAAATCATGGGGAGGTCTTAATGCAAAAATTAATGGGAAAAAAGAGAACGAATCGAGCAAGGAAGGAGAGAATATCTCAATCCACAAAATTATCCTTCTTTTCTTTATATTTTCCTTGCATTTTTTCTTAGTTTGTTTTTGTAGAATAATGTTGAATCAATCTTGAATCAATACAACTCGTTTGAGCCGTCTTTTCTTTGATTATTTTTGTGTGATTTGTTCTTAAATTTATCGCATACCACCGGAGATTCGCATCGAGTTGCCCGGGAACCTACCAATACTCCCGGTGAGAAGTTTTAGGCCGAAAATTATTTTTCAAGCCAACATAATTGGCACGCCCAGTGAGACGCAACGGCGTATGAGATTACAATCGGAGAAAATTATTCATATGGCGAATCAATGAAAGAACGGCGACGAGTTTTCGGACGCCTTTTATGGGTTGTCTATCCAAAAGAATTTACGTCGAGAAGGTACCGCTTCGCGTGTGGAGGGCAATAGTTCGTCTGAGAGGATGGCATCTGCCTTTATTCGTGAGGAAATATCATCAGTGATGCAAGCAAGCCTTCGAGACTTCGCATTTGATATGTCAAGCCAAGTGGCCGACATTCTCCGGCCAACCACAAACAATGAAATGGCCACTGATCGACACAATGAGAACCAACAATTTTCAGAAACTACCAGATATTATTTTTCTCCAATCGCCCAGTCTCAAATGATGTCAATTCTGTTGCAAAGTGGAGATCCCGTTTTTCAGCCCATGACAGCCCCAAATCAGGTGACTTTTTCGAATTTTCCTTAATCTATATATTCATAAATGCCCCAAGTACAATTTGGACAGGTTCAAGAACTCCGGATGGACCCTTCGACAAGTACAACGGCTATTTCAAATTATAGCGGTAGCCCTAGTGGATTTGGGGGGCAGCGTCAATTTGGCACTCCGGAGGGTGACTTTTTCAACCACCACCGCTAATATACAATATTCCGATGATCGATTGTGGAGTAGAGGCGAGAATTTTATTTTTCTCTCAAGAGGCTGCTCCACCACATCAATCCATTGGGGATCAACGACAATATGGTGCTCCGGGGGGCAATTTTTCTCAATCCCCACCGTTGATTGTTCCACCAACAGACGATATTAACGTCGTTAATAGGACACCCATAGCGCAGACGATATATACAACTGTTTAAGGAAGCCCAGACGCAACGAGTTTGTTCCCTAGGCAAGGAGTCGCACAGCAACAACAATCGTTTGGGGGGCAACAACCATTCAATGGCTCTAACGGTCATTACTTACGACAGGAATTTCAGGGGCAACAATCGTTAATTCTTCCGCCGGCTAGCAATCATAATGCCACTGATATGTCAGTCGCCAGGTTTGATGCATCGGTCCCTTGGGGGGAACCGACAATTTGATGCACTAATGACCAATTATTTTCAGCTGCCATGTCGTGAGCTTCCGCCGGCAATTGTTGTTCCAGCAGGCGATCTTAACATCGCTAGTACAACATTTTACGGACAGCAAGGCGGTCCACCTACCCCTCCGGTGTCTTAAACCGTCATAGATCCTCAAATTTTGCTAAAGGCTGTTTATGGAGTATTTGGGCAACACTTACGCCCAATTGATCAGCCATCATATCGTCAACCTTACCCCGATTGGATAGGCGAAATTATGGCATTGCCACGCGACACCAAAACACTTAAATTTACTCTTTTCTCAAGAGAAGATGGGCGTTCAAGTATGGAGCATGTGAGCCGTTTCATTGCACAATGCAGCGAAGCTAGCAATTGGATAAACTTCAAATGTTTTCGCTATCGTTAACTGGCGTTGCATTCAATTGGTATTTGGCACTACCGCCAAACTCCATACAGTCGTGGCAAGAGATGGAGAGAGCATTTCATGATCAATTTTATATTCCGCCAATTGAAGTTACATTCCTTGATTTGATGAATGCAAAGCAAAAAATTGATGAACCGGTAGACGAGTATATAAAGCGCTTTCGAAATTTGAAAAATTGCTACAATATACAAATTCCGGATACTCAAGCGATGCATATAGCGGTGAGAAACATACATCCAAAACTTAATGAAAAGCTTGCTTTGCAAGAGTTTAGCGATTTCTAACAACTTATATCTTGCGCCATTCGGGCTGAGCAAATGATAAATGAAAGAAAGGCCGCCAATCAATTTAGGCCGGCCGATCAACCTTTTATCATCTTTGACAATGACAATTTTGTTGAGCCGAAAAGGCAAAACAAGGAGTTAGATAGCGATTCTTTTGCCGCGGGTATGAATGTCATATCATTGGCAGATAGGCCAACACTAAAAGGTCATTTGCGCCCATCGGCAATGATTGTGAAAGTTGGCGCTAAGAAAAATGGCAATGCCTATGATGTTACCACTATCGATCATGTGAATATTCGTCCTCATTCAATGAGGAAACCGCCAATTGTATCACTATCAGATGAATGGCTTGTAAACCATAAAGTACCGATGGTTCAAGGGCCGAAACACTTGATACGGATGCAAAAGAGATGCCTCCAAAGGAAGAGGCTGGCAAAAAAAAATCAAAATGGGCGTATGTTGAAAAAAATATACGATCAATCAAAACATTTGGCCCGATGAGGTGAGAAAACAAGCTGTGGCGAGAGAAAATGGGTGGCGACGAGAGGATCAAAACATACCATTAACCGCCATAAGCAAAAAATAGTTCAATCTGGTCACCAAATGGACGGCTTGGCAGCGGCGAGTAGATCTAGACAAGTCACGAGTTGCTATGGGCGGAAAATAATTCAACTTGGTCACCAAACGGGCTGCAGCGAAAGGAGATGGGCGACAATGAGAGAATTTGAGCAAGTCACGAGTTGCCATGAGCAAAAAGAAGTTTGACTTGATCGCCAAATGTCCAAAATGAAAGATGATCAAGTTTTTGAGCAGTCGCCAAAGCGATCATGCAAAATAGGCTCCAATTAGTGCTAAATCGTCGAAAACCCAATCGCTGATAAAAAAAAAAAAAAAATGGTACCGATTAGTCCCAAACTTTCGGTTCGACATTCAGATGCTCCCAAGGAGTTTGGAGAAGTTGCGATTCACGGAAGCGGTGATGGAGTAAAAGGAAAAGACAAAAAGTTGGCAAGTTGTGCGATGATAAGCTTGGCGTAGAATGCATTCTAAACGCAACTGGCTTTGAAATAAGGCCGCGGATTCAGCGACGGGAAGACCAAGCAAAAATTCAATGATGATGATCGAACAAGAAAAAATAGTGGGCTTAAGCTATTCCTTCAAGCTTTGAGAATATCGCTAACGCTCAGGGATCAAGATACATTGCTGAAAATAAATCTTGGCGACATGATGGAACAAGCTGGATTTGCGCCCAACTTTCTGATCTTGATCATTAGCGTTTAAAAGACTTGACTCGCTAATGTTGTGATTGTTTTTTCCAAAGGAAAGTTTAACCTGGCAAGAAAGCTGGTTGAGCATCCATTGTCAATGAAAATAGATTGTCGACCACACAGGTTGCCACCTATGATGTCTACTTTGGAGTTGATCATTCCAATCAAGTCGAGTGAAATTAGGATGAGGTTGGGTCAAGTTGAAATTTTTTCGCCCATAGCGACTCGTGACTTGTCTAGGTCCACTTGCCGCAATCAAGCAGCCCATTTGGCGACCAGATTGAACTATTTGTTGCTCATGGCGGCTAATGACATGTTCAGATCCTCTCTCCGCCACCATTTCCTCTCGCCACAGCTTGTTTTCTCACCTTCTCGGGTCAAATGTTTTGATTACTCGTATGATTTTTCAGCATGCACTTATTTTGAACTTTTTTTCGGCCAGTTTCTTCCTTTGGCGGTGTCTCTTTTGCGTCCGTGTCAAGTATTTCAGCCCTTGAACCATCGGCGCTTTATGGTTTATAAACCATTCATCCGACGGTGGTACAATTAGCGGTTTTTTCATTGAATAAGGGCGAATATTCACATGATCGACAGTGGTAACATCATAGGCATTGCCATCTTTCTTAGCACCAACTTACACAACCAACTCCGATGGGCGCAAATGATTTTTTAGCTTTGGCTAATCCGCCAATGATATGAAATTCATACCCTCCGCAAAAGAATCGCTATCTAACTTCTTATCTTGCTTTTTCGGCTCAACAAAATCCTCATCATCAATGATAATAAAAGGTTGATCAGTCGACCTAAATTGATTGAGGTCTTTCTTTCATTTATCATTTGCTCGGCCCGAATGGCGCAAGATATAAGTTGCTGAAAATCGCTAAACTCCTGCAAAGTGAGCTTTTCATTGAGTTGTGGATGCATGTTTCTCACCACTATATGCATCCCTTGAGTATCCGGAATTATATATTGTAGAAAATTTTCAAATGTAGAAAGTGCTCAATATATTCGTCTACCGGTTCATCAATTTGTTGCTTTGCATTCATTAAATCAACCAATATAACTTCAATCGGCGGTCTATAAAATCGATAGTGAAATGTCCTCTTCATCTCTTGCCACAACCCTATGGAGTTTAGAGCTAACACCAATTACCAATTGAATGCAACACCGG